GTGAGATTATCGAGGATGATTTAAAATCAGAAAAGATAGCCCGTGTAGCCGCATCACCTGGATCATTAGGGTTGTTGAAAAAGAAAAGAGAGGAAACCACAATTGTTTCATATGGGGGAAGGAAACCCCCCAGAAGCTCATCATATTCCCAAGGTCGCTCTCGACCTTCTCAAAACTCCCACCAAGCTTGCTACACACAAGCTAATAATCCTAAATATTCTCTAATTTATCAGATTGCTACCTCCATTTATCCAAACGTCCAAGCTCCACTATACCAAAGTCCACCACCAAATTACCAAAATCCATCTCCATTTACCCAAATCATCCTCCACCCTATTAAATTCAATATCCCTACCAGGGTGTTGCTCCCAACTGCTCTAAGGTGCAATCGAGCTACCGAGCACCCCCTCCTGTTTATTAAGTCCAAGCTCCACTATACCAAAATTCTCCTCTGAATTACCCAGCTCTATCGCCAAACTACCAAACAAATCCATATCCGAGAAGCCAAGCTCCTTGTCCAAATACCAAAAGTTATCAACATGTGCCTCCTCCTCAACAAGGCAGCTATGACCCTCCCCGATCCAGATTTGAGAAGAAGACTTCAAGGAACTTCACTGTGCTTGCTGAAAGCTGAACAAAGTTGTACGAGCGACTGGCTGCGGACGGATACATCCACCTTGTGGGGCCCAAACCCATGAATGTCAATTCAAAATTCTACAGACCCGATCAGAGATGTGATTATTATTCCAACAGTTTTGGGCATGATACTAAGTATTGTATCAACCTCAAGCACAAAATTCAAGATTTGATTGACCAAGAGATATTCTCTTTCCAACCAGCGACACCAAATGTCAACACCAACCCAATGCCGAATCATGGGGGCGACAATGTCAATATGATCGAGATAGATGATGACTGGTGTGTAACAAAAATGATTAATCCAATCGTTCACGATGATTTGGAAAGGCTGTAGCTTCTTTGAGCATCAAAGAGAAAAAAGAGTTCATTATTTTGACACCCGTAAAGGCTGTTGCTTCGGTGCCATCAAAAACTCTCATCAAGCCTAAGTTTGTTATGAAAACTACTGCTGCTCAAGGCATGACCAGATCCGAAAGATGTTACTTACACTCCTGACGAGCTTGCTTTCGGAGGTCAAAATAAGGATCAGGCTAAAAGGACAATAAGAGAAGGAGAAGAGGAGGAATTGTGGAGAAGAATGCAGCCGAAAGATTATTCTATCGTCAAGCATTTGGAGAAGACTTCAGCCTAAATCAGCGTATGGGCCCTGCTGATGAGTTCTAAATCGCACAGGCAGACTTTGATGAAGTCTCTCTATGATACGTATGTACCCACGGGCACAAGCAACGATAACGTGGCCGCTATGATTCACCAGGTTATTCGAGGGCACCGAATTAACTTTTGTGACGATGAGCTTCCTTTCGAAGGGAGGTCACACAACAAGGAGTTGCACATCAATGTGGTATGCCGTGAAAAGGTTGTCAACTGCATCTAAGTAGATAATGGTCTGGTCTGAATATCTGCCCATTATCAACGTTGAGGCAGCTAAGGTTTGACCTTGGGAAGCTGGAACAAAACCAAGTCAACGTAAGAGCCTTTGATGGGGTTCAGGGAGATACGTTAGGAGCGGTGAATCTGATCATCTAAATAGGCCTATCTGAATTCAGTGCACATTTCCAAGTATTAAATATCGATACCAGCTATAACCTTTTTCTTGGAAAGGCCATTCATCCATATGGCTGGAGTTGTCCCTTCTACTCTAAATTAGATGATGAAGCTCGTTTGAGAAAACGAAAAACTGGTTATTCATGGCGAAGAGAGTCACTCTAGTAGACAGGTGCTGATCATTGATGAGATATCGCGAGGTATATATTTCTACACAGTGGAGTTAGTGAATGCCACCGGTGAAGACTTGGCCCGACAAAGTCCCATGCTTGCCGTGTACAAGATGATAGCCACTGTGATGCTGCTGAATGGTTTTGAACAAGTTTGGATTGGGAAGAGATTTCCAAGGAATTATTGAGCCTATTTCGGTCCTCGTCAAGGGATCCAGATATGGTTTGGGGTACATCCCCACAGATGATAACATGGAGAAGAAGAAGAGAAATGATCAAGCATTAGCTAAGCTTATCCCATATCTTTATCAATCCTTCCCAGTCTGGGAGTATGCCGAGCATGAAGACCTTGAAGAAGGAATCTTTGACCTCTTCGAGGAGATCGATGCTGTTACTGAGGAAGAGGTCGAGCTAGCTGGTATCCGCGATGCTGAGCCAAGAGAGATGCTGCAGAATTGGACCTCCACGCCCATTCTGATCCCCCAAACTCCTTGGTAGAAAGGCATCACTTCATGCATATTAAAATCAGTGGTAGTACGAAAGAGGCCCGAGACCCACCATTTTATACTTTATTAACTATTTGAATTTTCAAATTTTTATTGTGATGTTCAAAGAAGGCAACATGGACCTTTGAAATGGCCAAAGTTTGCATTGTTTTTAAATTTGAATGAAAGCCTCTTTATTTTTAAATTTATTTATTTAGTCGTTTGTTATACTTTACATTCCTAACTTTGTTAGTTTATGGTATCAGTAATGTAAGTTTTTGACCTGCCAATGTCATGTCATGTTACGAGATGAATGAACAAAATGAGGCTGGTAATGATGAGGTTGATGATTACGAAGAAGAAAGTGAGGAACAAGAGTATGTCGCCGAGGAATTTTGGCAGTTCAAAAATGAGCATAAACCAAATCTAGAGGAAATCGAAATGGTAAGTTTGGGGGATCCACAATATGTTAAATAGGTTAAGATCAACATCCCCTTAAATGAAGATTAGAGAGAAGGCCTTATTCATTTGCTTACTGAATATATTGATGTGTTCGTTTGGGAAATCGGTGACCTACAAGGGCTAAGTACCGATGTCGTATCTCATAAACTGCCGATTAACTCGGGGTTCAATTTGGTGAAACAAAAGACTCATAAAGTCAAGCCTGAACTTGGTTTAAAGATTAAAGAAGAGATCACTAAGCAGATAGAGTCTCGATTGGTGGAAGTGACACAATATCCAACTTGGTTGGCCAATGTAGTTCGGGTTGCCAAAAAAGATGGGAAAATCAGGATTTGTGTCGACTACATATATCTCAACAAAGACAAACTTAAGGATCCATTGCTGAATATTCATATTTTGATTGATAACTTTGCTAAGCATGAAATGCAGTCATTTGTGAATTGTAACACATGTTACCATCAGATTCTGATGGATGAGGAAGATGCAGAAAAGACAACTTTCATTACACCTTGGGGTGTATATTCCTAAATGGTGATGCCGTTTGGCATCAAGAATAGTGGTGCTACCTATATGAGGGCTATGACGACCATATTTCATGACATGATTCATAAGGAGATTGAAGTGTATGTGGATGACGGCATAATCAAGTCCCGCTAGAGTTCAGACCATTTGACACATCTAAGGAAATTCTTTGGTCGTTTGCGTCATTACAACTTGAAGTTAAATCCCGCCAAATGCGCTTTTGGAATTCCATCCGGAAAGTTATTGGTATTTATAGTCAACACAAGGGGTATTGAGCTTGACCCTTCTAAGATTAAAACAATTCATGAGTTACCTCCGCCAAATACGAGAAAAGAGGTGATGAGTTTCATAGGGAGTTTAAACTACATCAGTCAATTCATAGCTCAATCGACCGTGGTATGTGAGCCTATTTTCAAGTTGTTGAAGAAAGACACCCCGACAAAGTGGACTGAAGAGTGTCAGACTGCTTTTGATGCTATCAAGAACTATTTGTCCAATCCACCGGTATTGGTTCCTCTACGAGAAGGGAGTACTTTGTTGCTGTACTTGTGTATCTCAGATAGTGCATTCAAATGCGTACTTGGTCAAAACGACGAGACAGGAAAGAAGTAAAGGGCTATCTATAAGCAAGAAGTTTACTCCATACGAGTCTCGTTACACTTTGTTGGAGAGAATGTGTTGTGCTTTGACGTGTCTTGCCCAGAAGCTGAGACAGTATTTGTCTTCCTATACTACATACCTCATTTTCAAAATGGATCCAGTGAAGTATATCTTCAGAAATAGATGCCAATCGAAAAGTTAGCTAAGTGGAAAATGTTGTTGAGAGAATTTGACATTGTCTATGTGACTCATGAGGCGATAAAAGCACAGGATTTGGCTGATCATCTTGCAGAAAATCCGATTGATGAAGAGTATGAACCGCTTAAGACTTATTTTCACGATGAAGAAATGTCATTTGTGAGTGAAGATATTTGTGAGGCATACCACGGTTGGAGATTATTCTTTGATGGAGCGGCGAATCATCAAGGTAAAGGTATTGGGGCGGTTTTAGTGTAAGAATCTTGTCAGCACTATCCCATGGCAGCTAAGCTTCGATTCAATTGTACGAAAAACATGGTCGAATACAAAGCTTGAGTTCTTGGTTTGAAAATGGCCATAAACATGAGTGTCTACGAGTTGTTGGTTATTGGAGATTTAGACCTTTTGATTCACAAAGTTCAAGGAGAATGGGCTGTGAAAGACCCAAAGATTATACCTTACGTATAGTATGTGCAAAAGTTGCACAAAATATTTCATAAGATCGAGTTCAGACATACTCCTAGAATACATAATGAATTGGCCAATGCTTTTGCCACCATCGCTTCGATGATTAAATATCCGGACACAGACTACATTGATTCTCTGGATGTAGAGGTTAACAACATCGAGTCCATTGTTCCCATGTTGAAGCACAACCACACGATTTTCTTTGGTATTTTGATATAATAAATATTTAGAATCTGGAAATTATATCGAAGATGCTACATCCAACCAAAAGAAGTCGATACGCCGTATGGATCTAAATTTCTTTATAAGTGGAAAAGTCCTTTATAGGAGGACTCCAGATTTGGGTCTTCTAAGATACGTTGATGCTGCAAAGCTTATTGAATAGATACATGCTAGAGTTTGTTGCACGCATATGAATGGGCTCACTTTGTCAAGAAAGATCCTTCGATCCGGTTATTTCTGGATGACTATGGAGAATGACTGCTGTAAGTTTGTATGAAAATGTCATAAATGTCAAGTTCAGGATAATTTGATCCGAGTGCCATCTCACAAACTTAATACTATGAGTTCACTTTGGCCATTTGTAGCTTGGGGTATGGATGTCATCGGTCCGATAGAGCCATCCGCTTCAAATGGAAACAGATTCATTTTGGTTGCTATTGGTTATTTCACCAAGTGGGTGGAAACAACTTTTTACAAGTCGGTAACCAAGAAAGTTGTGGCTAATTTTATTCGCAACAATCTGATATGCAGGTTTGGGGTACCAGAATCCATCATTATTGATAAAAATGTGAATCTAAATGGTTAATTGATGAGACATATATGTGAGCAATTTAATATTGAACACCAGAACTCAACCGCTTATCGTCCTCAAATGAATGGAGCTGTAGAGGCCGCTAATAAGAATATCAAGAAGATTCTTAGAAAGATGATTGATAATCACCGAGGCTGGCATGAGATGTTACCATATGCTTTATTGGGCTATCGAACGACCGTCAAAACATCTACTGGAGCTACTCCGTACTTACTAATATATGGAACAGAGGCATTCATACCTGCTGAAGTTGAGTTACCGTCAATGAGAATCATCCAAGAAGCTGAGTTGAGTAAAGCTGAATGGGTTAGAAAGAGAACGGAGTAGTTAACTTTGATTGACGAGAAGAGAATGGTTGTTGTTTATCATGGTCAGTTGTATCGACAGAGAATGATTCGTTCTTTTCACAATAGAGTAAGAACCAAAATTTTCAAAGTTGATCAGTTGGTCCTTAAGTGCATTTTTTCTCATCAAGACGGATACAAAGGAAAGTTCGCGCCAAATTGTCAAGGACCCTACATGGTTCGCAAGGTATTATCTGGAGTTGCTTTGGTCCTGTCGGAGATGGATGGAATCGTATGGCCTAAAGCTATCAACTCAGACGCTAAGAGATACTATGTGTGAAGATTTGGTTTGCATTTGTATTATTTACTTGTAATCATTCTGTTTGCTTGTATTTGTTTGGCTTAATTTTTATCCCTCTTGGAATGAACTACGTCTGACCTGAATTCTCAAGAATGAGATACGTAGGCTGCCTTTATCGGCCTCGGTCATCCCATTTATCCCCTTTAATTATTTTCTCGTATTTGAGCTATGTTCGGCTTGAATTCTCAAGAATGAGATATGTAGGCGGACTATGTCAGCCTCGGTTGTTTTTTAAAATTTTTTTTATTGTTGTTAACCTTGAGGGGAACTGCATTTGACCTTATTTCTGCCTCAACGGGATACGTAGGCGCCACAAGGGTTCGGTCATATCTCCCGTAAGATTTTTATTCCTCTTTACAATAGAAATTGAGACATAATAGTCAGTTACAGTGGAAAGATAAGCAAAACGCTTAACTCGGACAGAAATTTTGAGGATGACCTCAAAATTTCAGAATTGGTTTATCTACTAGTCCCCAACAAATAATCAAATAGACCTCCGAGCATCAGTCTCAAAGAAGTTTGTTAAGCCTGATATGACATGACTTGATATAGACCTTTTTCAGATACTATTTCTCGAAAATTTATTTTTCTTAAATTTTCCCTTTTATGTTTCATTTTTTTGGGATTAAATATTTTATCTCATCTATCAAGAGTCGGGAGATCGGGAAATCAACCAAAGATAGCAGAACAAGGAGCAGACAACTGAAGAAATCAACACAGATCAGTTTGTTTTTCAAACTAACAATTTTTCTATGGACGTAGGCTTATAGCTTTGCTCTAAATCAACAAATTCTTCCGATGGATGAATATGGAGAAGTCAAAGGAGGAGAAAACTATCCCAAAATCAATAGTTTTTCTTAGAAGCAGGAAGCATTTTTTATATCGCTTATGCCGGAGACTTGGGAATATGAATTGTTTATTTCAATCAGTTTCCAACAAATTGAAATTTATAAAGAACGTCCACCTAGATTCGAAGGTGAATCAAGCAAAAATCTCAAGGAAGATTTTACAGTTTTCGTAAAGAACGTCATTTGCATCATAATGTCGGATAAGATACTATGCATTACCCGGAGGGGTCAGTTATTTCATTATCGATCAAGACGATATACTATCTGGAAGTTTTTTTTACCTTTATCATTGTTTGAGGCTATATGATTATTCGTTCACCGTGGAAGATCATGCATCGCGAGTCAATAGTTATGCATCACGGAAGACCATGCATCGCGAGTCAATATCTATGCATCGCGAGTCAATATCCATACATTGAGGAAAATCATGCATCGCGAGTCAATATTCACGCATCGCGATTTAATTGTAGGAAATTTGTGTTGATCATGTCCCTTTCCCCAATTCCCCCAAATCTTGGATCTTGCTTATGAATTGATGAGAATCGGAGAATGTACACCAAATCATCTACTATATAAGTTAAGGACACATATATGACAATTGATCTATTTAATGTAACACTTTATTGAATTGAATAAATAAATAAACAATTGTTCAATATTAATACTATATCAAAACGCATGGTTAATAGTATATCCTAACAATCTCCCACTTAGACTCATAACCATGCACCTACAACTCTAACACCCATTCCTTCAACATGTCTATCAAAAGACTTTTGCGGTAAAGTTTTTGTGAAAGGGTCTGCAAGGTTGTTCTCTGATGCAATCTTCGCCACCATCACATCCCCTCTCTGTACTATGTCTCGAATCAAATGGTATTTTTGCTCAATGTGTTTTGCCTTCTTATGACTTCGTGGTTCCTTTGAATTTGCAACTGCTCCACTATTATCACAAAACATTGTAAGTGGCATTTCTATTGCAGGAACAACCGCCAAGTCTTTCAGAAAGTTTCTGAGCCACACTGCCTCCTTAGCTGCTTCAGAAGTTGCTACATATTCGGCTTCCATGGTAGAATCAGCAACACAGGTTTGCTTGATGCTTCTCCAAACAATGGATCCACCTCCCAAAGTAAACACATTTCCTGAGGTCGACTTTCTAGAGTCCATATCAGACTGGAAATCTGAGTCTGTGTACCCTATGGGCACCAACTTATCCGAATGATAGAGTAGCATGTAATCCCTAGTCCTTTTCAGGTACTTGATTATATGCTTAACTGCTGTCCAATGTTCTCGTCCAGGATTAGACTGATATATGCTAACCATGCCTACGACAAAACAAATGTTAGGTCTAGTGCATAACATGGCATACATGAGACTTCCTACCGCTGATGCATAAGGAACTGTCTTCATGCTTTCTGTTTCCTCATCTGTCTTAGGACATTGATCCTTAGATAAAGAAATTCCATGTCTAAAAGTAAGAAAACCTTTCTTAGAATCGTGCATGTTAAACCTGGTAAGAATTGTATCAATATAAAGAGCTTGAGATAAACCTAACATCCTTTTCTTGTGATCACGTAGAGCCTTGATCCCAAGGATGCGAGCAGCTTCTCCCAAATCCTTCATATCAAAGTTTGTGGACAACCATTTCTTAACTGAATTCATCAAGCCCACATTATTTCCTATGAGCAAGATATCATCTACATATAATACCAAAAACACCACTTTATCCCCATTCCACTTTTTGTACACACAAGACTCATCAAGACATTGCTCAAAACCAAAAGACTTGACTGCAGTGTCGAAGCAAGTGTTCCATGCCCTAGAAGCTTGCTTTAATCCATGAATAGATCTTTTAAGCTTGCACAACATGTGTTCTTTTCCTTTTTCTATGAAACCATCTGGTTGTCGCATAAATATGCTTTCATCAAGACTTATATTAAGGAAAGATGTCTTGACATCCATTTGCCAAATCTCATAATCATAATGAGCAACAATGGATAAGAGAATTCTAATAGACTTAAGCATGACTACTGGTCAAAAAGTTTCCTCATAGTCGATCCCTTCTTTCTGAGTAAACCCTTTTGTAACAAGTCTAGCTTTGTAAGTTTGCACTTTTTCATCTACTCCTCTCTTTTTATTATATATCCACTTGCATCCAATGGGTTTGACTCCATCTACAGGTGGTTCTACAAGATCCCAGACTTTGTTAGAGTACATAGACTACATTTCTGATTTCATAGCAATAATCCATTTTTCTGCATCTTTATCTTGTAGTGCTTCGTCGTAATTCACAGGTTCGGTATTCGACTCTTCATGGATTCTGTCAAAAGACTCTCCCAAGAGTGCATACCGAAGTGGTTTTCTTATCACTCTCCCACTACGACGAGACACTACAGTTGTAGGGGCAGGTTCAGAGAGATTTACATTATTATGATCTTGTGGTGGAACCACATCATTTTTAGGATCTTGAGTTTCCATGTTATGTTCAGTATCTTGCGGTGCAGAGATATCAACAACTTCTTCCTCTAATGCAATCTGCTCACTATTACTCCCACTACCTTGATGCAATGAATTTTCAAGATCTTGTACTTGCAGAATTTTATGTTTGTTAACATCTCTCCCACTATTATAATGCAATGGTATGTTAACTCTAACATGTGGGGTTTGAATTTGGTTTTGATTATTTTCAGTAGATTGATTTGTTTTCTCTTTGATCAATTCCTGTAAAACTAGTTTACTTCTAGAAATATGGTTTGTTAAAAATCCGTTTCCAGAAACTTGGCATTGGTAGACACAATGACCTTCTTTTCTTTAGGATTATACAACATACCACCTTTCGTTCCTTTAGGGTATCCAATAAAAACACATACTTCTGTTTTAGGCTCCAATTTTTCTGCCTTCCCTTTTAATACATGTGCTGGACATCCCCAAACCCGAATATGTCTCAAACTAGGTTTGTGCCCAGTCCACAGTTCAATGGGTGTCAAAGGAACAGATTTAGAAGGAACTAAGTTCAGAATGTAATTTGCAGTTTCTATGGCATATCCCCAAAACAAATGCAGCAAATCAGAGTAACTCATCATTTATCTAACCATTTCTAAAAGAGTTCTATTTCTTCTTTCTGCTACACCATTTTGTTGTGGCGTTCTAGGTGCAGACATTTGAGATGTAATTCCTTGTTTTGATAAGTAACTAATAAAATCATTAGAGAGGTATTCGCCACCACGATCAGATC